GCAGGAATTTTTTTCCTGACCAAAAAATAAAAAAGTTCCTCGCTTACTACATTTTTCATGTTTTTTTATGGTGTTAAAAACAATCATCTGTTTTAATTTGCCTAAATAAATTATAAAAATTATGTTAAGGTAAAAACTAGCTACATAGTAATGAGCACTGGTTTTTCCAGAAAAATAATATATCAATTTGAAATTTGTATGTTAACAAATAAGTGTAGCAGAGCAGGATGAGTGAATGTATGTTTGTGTAAAACAGAGAGGTTCATTCGGCCCGTCCGCCTCGGTATCCCGCCAATTCGATTGACTTATGGCAGAGACTGTACCGTTGGAGCTTGTGAAACTTGGAGGTTATGAACCGCTCTGTTTATTTGATATTTAAAAGTTGGAGTTTGTGAAATTTGGACATTGTGAAACTGTGCTTATTTGAAAGTTATAGTTTTGGAGTTTATGAAGTTTGGAGGTTATGAAACACACTGTTTATTTAATATTTTAGACGTTGGAGTTTGTGAAATTTGGACATTATGAACCTCACCCAGAATCTCTGGTTCCTGAACTGGATGATGCCTAGTTATTTAATTTCATTTACGGTTACACTAAATTACACTATATTATTGCACTTTCGATTAATTAAATCAGTTATGTAAGAAAAATGTTTTTAATCTCACTTGGTTGGGATTTGCATTCAAAACGTGATTGAAAAAGGTTGCGGTATGTGTAAACAACATTTGTAAACATATCAGTGACAGCCTAGGAGGATTAAACATTAAGGAGAGGACACGCTGTAGTTTCGTTGAAGTCAGCGTACTGAGGAGGGGGGAGGCAGCGCTACTCTCCCGCCCCCCTCTCATACTGCGTTGTATGCGTTACTGGAAGATTTGGTAACAGAAATATCAATTGACTATTTAAAAATTAGACTTCATCATGCTACGAAAATTAAAAAGTTAAATTCTAACCGTAATATTAGGAACCTATTAAGAGGAAAGTCATATTTATGAACCAATAGTACGTTCAAAGGTGAGTAATTTACACAAGGACGACTTGTATTTTAGAATTCGTTGTCCTTGTTTTTATTTTTTGCCATACTTGTATTGTGTATTATTTATAATACTCTAACCAGAGCGCGGGACTCCGGTTCATGGGGTCCCGGGTTCAAATCCCGCCATATCACCAATGGATTTTACTGTTCATAAATTAAAACTCAAATCATAAGTAGTACTGTATGTGTATTTGAACATTTTCTTAAAGAGAAATAAAATAGGTTTTAATCCTTTAAAAGAATGATAAACGCACTTTGGCGTCAGAAGACGCGATGATTGTTGAACATTTACACTTTTTACTCGAAGTTTCTTTGGGCAAACAGATCAAATATAGTTCAATATGATATTAAAAAAATCTAGAATTTGATTACCAAGAAATTGTTTTACTTTTTATGATTGTAATTTAATTGTAACGGCTGTTGGTGTAAAAAAAGTTAGAGTGGCTTTGCATTTTTTCTTAACTTTGGTTATTTAAAATCACCTGTCTAGCACATCAATGACTTAAAACTAGTAAAAAATTATATTAACAAATCGAGAAAACTATGAAAAATGCTAATTTAAAATGTATTTCACCACCCGAATTAAAATTTTCATTTTAACCTATTATTAGTAAGATTGTTTTATAAACTGGAAAAATAAAAAAAAACTTTATTGTAATTATTTTTATAAATACCACTTTTAAATATAGGTAAATATATATTTTTTATTTCGAGAAATTCTTAAGGAACATGAATAAATTGTTAATTTGTGTAGATACATCATATTTTTTTCAAAAACGTAATTATAGTAATCATATGTTCAAAGTCCAGGTCAATTCATTCAACTTTGATCTTCAATAATAAATAATAAATAATCGTTTTTATAGGAATGATTGACACCGTTCGATAGGAAATTTAATTTACTTTAAGAATGCCATCGGTGAATAACACGGGTGTTTTAGTTTAGCGGCAATTTTAATTCGAAACAGCGCGCGTCGCGTTTTTCCCTATCTCTCCCATGTTATAGCCGCGGCTTTTTGCCACTCTACGGCTCCGCGTGCCCCTCTAGTGTTCTGCTAAAGCTGTCTTCACCGCAACACGTGTATTCCTATTCGCGTGCCCTCTCCTTAATGTTTAATCCTCCTAGGTGACAGCTAGGAAAAATAATCTTGATCCGAACAGCTGTTCGTTATTTCACAGATGATTATGCAATAAAAATTGGACGAAAACTTGACATAAATCGCACAAAACTAAATTTTTGAACGTTCGTAATATTATTTACAAAGTAGTGAGGCCATATTTTAATGGCTAAAGACAATCTCGCATATCCAGTGAATACATTAAAATTACTTGGATCTTGATAGGTACTCTCGTTTTCCAGGAGAAGATAGCGTAAAATGCCATCTTGAGTGTTACAGACAGAGGGAAAGACAGACAGGCAGACAGAAATTGGGATAAGACTCGTTTCTGCTTATTTAATGTAGGCTATAAGACGTAAAAATAACCTAAAAATATATAATTCTGAGCAATGTACAGACAAAACTCTAATTTTATTTATATAGATAAACTTAGACCTATGCTATAGGTTATTAATAGAGTGACTGAGGCCTTTAGCCTATTCATGTAATCAAAAAGTACAAAATTGGCCTAACCTAACCTCTATAATTATTTACTTTAAGTTATTTACTTATTCAATATAAGTTGACATAAGTTATGCAGGGCAAAGAGCTAAGAAAATTAGCTCTTTATATAACTTGCTCTGGAAAGTAGGCAGGGCAAAGCCTAAGAAAAAAATTGCAAGTGTGCAAAACTTAGCCTACATATCATGCCCCCCCTGGGGGGGTCTAGCTAAAGGGAGTCGGGGAAAATTTGGAAACTTTAGGTCTAAAAACACAGTTTTTGTGCACTTTTGAGCCTCTTTTAGAACATTAAATCTTTTGTCTTTCAATTTGATTTAATATTGATTGACTTGATAGGTTATAATATTCTTTTTTGTATCCTAAACCATTTATGATGTTAAAAAGCTTTGAAGTCACTTTTCAATGATTTTTACACTTATATTGCAAGTAATCTCAGAATAAATAGCAAATGCAGCTGGAATCACCGTACGTCAGACCAATAAATTGCATATCTCATGGTGAAGTAAAAACGTCGGTGAAATAAAAATATCGGTGGTTACTGGCTAAAAATAGAAAACACCGGTGTAAGGGGAGGCAGAAATATGTCACAAACACAACCCTTCCCGCGTCCCACCACGCAGATGTAGACGGCTGCTCTACTGACGTTAGTCAAGGGCATCAGGCTACTGTATTTCAGAACTAGGGTTCCCAAAGTCCCTCCATAAAAAAAGAGGACAGTTAATTTGTGACTCCCGGAACTTACCTTGGAGGGGGCCCCGGTCACCTATTTTTTTATAATTAGAATTATTTAATGCGTTTTAAGGGCTTTTAAAAAAGTTTTTAGACTATTTTAGATAGGTAGGTACTAGAACTTTCATCATTTTGGAATTTTTTAAAACTGAATATTGTCTCACAATTCCTAAAAACCTGTATTGAACCTGAATATTGTTGGTATTGTAATTCTTAGAAATTTTAAACTAGAACTTTCGATTTGCTTGTTAATTCTTTACTATCACTAAAATATTTGCTTTTAATTTTCATTCAGGCATGCTTATGTTAACAATGCTATTGAAAAAAAAATTGGCAACTTAGGATTTTACCTCTAAAACTTATGTCTGGATTACTGGATCTCCCCCTCACCAAATCATTGGATTAGAAACATGCTTTGCAAGACTAGGAGTGTTTAAACAACACTTTTTGAAGTTTAGTGGTACAATCCATGGACTCCAAACTCTGGTGATGTTTTTACTACAGTGTGAAATGCAGGATCTTCAGCAACACGAGCAAAATTATTGAATTTAGAGTCATGTTTAAAGAACAAACCTGTCAATTTCGGAGGATAAATGCAAATGCTTAATGGTTGGAGTTGTGGTGATGTTTTTAAAAACTTTAGGTTAACTTTTTTTCGCCACATCCCTTTTTTAACTTGACTGAAATTACACATTTCTTTTCGGCATTAGTTGGATGTAGGAACGTTCAAGAATGATAAAGCAAGAAGTAAGAAAATTATTCTAATGTAAGCATGTAGGAGTGTATAAACGTAAGCAGAAAGCAGACGAGGAGCTAGCTGAAGTTAGATAGTCGCTGGTCTGGGTGGTGGTGAGCATAGACAGAGACAGCTGGGTTAATTTTGCCAACAGTCTTAAGCTTTAAACACAAAATTTGATCCAAAAAGGAAACAAAACTTTGAAATATAAGATATCATTACTGTGACACAATATTTTTATTTAAGTTTAGTTTCCAAATTTCAGTCTCATTCTGGGCAATTGATGATTAGAGCCAATTACTAATACTAGGCCTACTATGCATTATTCAGGAATAATTTGATTTATTTATTTTTTTTAGTCTAAATCCCTGACATTTTAGGGTTTTGCCAAAAATCCCCCGGACGTTTTTTACTTACCCAAAAAAAGGAAGTGTCCGGGGAAATGAGGACGTCTGGGATACCTGTTCAGAACTCACTTGGGGGGGGGGGGGGTAGATCTTTGGTTTTAACTTTTAAATTGGACTGGCAGTTTTGAGGCAATGTTCCTATTTAAAATAACTTTGCTGCCCAACTTTTAAATCAATTTCTATGAATTTTCAAATTTTTAAAAATTAAGAGTGGCCAATTTTGTGCCCCTTCAAAAGGCTCGAGTGTGGGGCTGCATACGTCGCAGGCCCTGTGCATATGCCTCCCCTAAGCTTATATGTTTTAGTTTTTTACGTCTCCTGAATCCAAAAATACCATTTAAGTTAATTTTGCCGCAAATGAATAAGTTATTACTAACTTATGTTATTTCACTGCTCAAATAAGTTCCTTGTAGAACAAAGATAGAAACCTGTCAGTTGCTCACAATTATTTTCATCAATATTTTTACTTACAGGTTTTTGATATAGTTTTGAATGGCGACCATACAATAGTGACTGATTTGGACATCTACGATAGAGTAGGAAGAGGAGTGGCTCATGATGAATACATTACCTTCAGTGTCAATCGAGATAGGCTCTACTACAATGAAGAGGAATCAGACATTAGAGGAGGAAAGATAAGAGTTGAATTTATTAAAGTAAGTACGCTAGATAATTTTAGATTTCAGTTTTAACCCCCAAAACATATTTTAGCCTAAGTTATACAGAAATATTATTTTTTAATTGAAGTTCAAATAAACTTAACAAGAAATGTGAAAATTAAATTACTAGCATACCGGTATTTGAAGGTGTATTAACTTATACGTGGTTTCTTAGAAGGTCTAGAACTATAAAGTGAGCAGTATCATTTTAGTCTGGGGGTCAAGACACATCAGTAAGCAATGGACTGGACCATTTTATAATGGATATATGGTGTTAGTCAAGCTGTTAAAAACATAAACTGAACAATTGGAAATGTTTCCAAATGATTGTTTGATATTAGCACACAATGTAGGCTGTAAGGTTTACATAATTACACTAAACATTAAACTAACTTACGGAACTAGTTGTCGGAACGAAGAGCTTGGTGATTCTTTACAACCTTATCCAATGCATAAAATATGATTGAATTCTGATATTTATTTGTATTCAACCCAATACTTGCTTTATGCTAAAACCAAGTGTTGTTTGTTAATATTCATCTAACAACATGTACACATGACGCAAAATATCTTGACACTTGACAAATTCCACTATAGTCCGGCAGCCAAATGAGGATTTTGTCCCTAACCTGGTTTTGTTCTATTAAGTTTTTTTTATTGTTGTTTTGAGTTATATAGGGTATGTAGACCATAAAACCACCGGGTACTTTTTTGGTACCCTTGGGCAATAGCCGCCATCTTGGAAAATGGTGGAAAACGTAATTTACAGTGTAAGCTTTTACTTAAAACTATGTTATGAAAATACCATGCTACCTACAGCAGTGCAAACACTTTTAAAATACTCACAGTGAAATTCTATGCAGGAAAATATCATATTGTAACTATATATTGTGTGTTTTAAAGCCAGTATTTCTTTTTAAAGTTAATCATTTAGATAAAAAATATGTTCTATCCCTGCTTTTTTCAACTTTGTGCTAAAATCTCTGAAAAAAGGCCATGATACATGTTACAAAAGTTGTAGATCTCAAAATTGTGCATCCAATGCACCTATAGGGATATTTGTTGGATCAATGATATTGTCACAACAATGTGTAAAAAATAACTTTTATTTATTTTTTCTATGACAAAGAGGGGTATCTAATAAATGAAAATAATTTATATAATTCTTCCTAAGAATATTCTGTAGTTCTTTTCTACTGTTTTTGGTATCAAAATGCTCAATAAACCAATGGCTTTCATTTAAGCTAATTATAATTCAAATCATAGGATGTAGCTAGTTATGGCCCCCCCTAAAAGAGTAATTTTAATCATAAAAAAGTCTCATCAAAGCCCTACCTATATCTTTAGTGATTATGTTATGTTTTATGTATTTATAAGAAAACAGTCGGTAACGTACTGGCTTTCATGGAAAATATTAATTATTGGGTTTCAAACAAATTTAGGTATAGATCATCAATCAATAAATCAATAATTTTTCTTGTAATTTGTTGATTTGTAAATTGGAAATAGTCCGACAACCAAACAGGGAATTTTCCTTGAACCCTCTTTTGTTCTATTACGTTTTTTTACTGATGATATTTTATTTTAGTATATAGATGCAGAAAATAGCGGGTACTTACAAAGTACCTTTGGGCAACTTCTAGAATTTGAGATAATAATTGTGAATATTAATAAATAAATCGATTAATTTAAAACATGGTAATTAAGCTACAAACTATGCGTTTTTAGTTCGAATATCATGAAATTTGGTATGAAACCTCGTTATAATGTTTCATAAATTTACCAGATATTAGCCATATCAAAGCTGTTTCAAACTGGCGGTGGAAAATGTGGTTTTTATCTTAAGAATTGAATTTTTTGCCCAATAAAAAAAAACTTGTTATACGACCTTGTTTTAGTGTTACCTATAAGCGAACAAAATATAATTTTTGCCAATTTAAACCTGAGCTTATATAAGTTACTAGCAAGACACATTGTTTACATCATTATTATGGCATGTAATAATAACACTCAATTTTGAAGTTAACTGAATTCCCGTAGCACTTGTGGCTATGCTTGTTAGTATTTGCGTTATATTGAAAAAATACAATAAGCTAACAAAATTAATAAAAAGCGATTTCAACATAGTTGAGTTTTATTATTTTGTATTGTAACATAAATATTTTATTCATGTAAAAATTTTACCTTACATAATAAGCCTACATGTAGAAATAACTTGTAAATAACGTTTCAGTAACCTTAGTGACTATTAGTGATTTCTCTATAGGGAAGTAGCTAAACTGTAGGTCTCATGGTAGGCCCGGGACCCATTTACATCATTTTGATGTCCCCAGAGGCCAAAAACACTCTTTCGCTCAAATTTTTATATATATAATTTAAAAAATAGATCATTTTAAATCCCATGTTATTCTTATGGAGAATATGGTAAAACGTTTTAGTTGGTTTGTTTTTTTATATATTTTTATCAAACTTGGCAGATTTATTTATTCTATACTAAGCTATTAATATTTTAATAAAAAATATACTTTATTAGTTTCCCTTTAGCAGCAAACCTAGGTACTCTTTAAACATAAATGTGAATTTAATAGATTAATTGAAAATCAATCCAGGCAAATGGAAATTTGATAATTCGTCAAGTTTGCTGCAGCGGGGGTATTAACTCATTATTCTACATTGTCGTAGTCTTCACTGACGTCTTGAGTTTGTATTTTTCTATTTAAACTGGTATTATATCCACAATGACAAAATACTGTGCAAGGTAAGCCTGAGCTCACGCAACTACATATTTTTCAATTCTGTTCACTGGTGTATATCAAACGCAACAAAAAAAAACTTGATAGGAATAATCCAGGTTAGGTTCATATCTGAGTTTACACATAGCTTACTGAGGTTTTCTTCACCAAAATGAATAACACAGCTCATTTAGATCTTGAGATATAGTTCTTTAATAAAAGACAGTCTTTAAAAATTGAAAACCTAATGTTAGTTAGAGGTCTACAACTCACCTTAAGCTCTACATATTTAAATGAAAATTGTCTCAAATGAAAGTTCTAAGTTGGCCTAGTGTTTTTAAACCAGAACGAATAACATAGTACACATAGCAGCTGAGAAATATGTCTTTAAATATAGAAGAAAGTTAAGAAAAAACAACTTTTATTCCACGTTTAAGCTTATAACTCGCCCCAAACACGCCAGAATGCAATAAATAATAGCTTAAAAGAACCGCATTAAATCACTGAATATTCCCATACCACAACATACAATATCTAGTAAAAATAACTTGAGACACAATCATTAACTAAAGATAAATTGTAAAAACAAAATCAAATTTTTATTGTTTGGGGTCCACAACTCATGTTCAACTCAGCCGATTTTAATAGTCAATGGCTTGGATTAAAGCCAGTAACTCACTGAGTATTCATAGTATATAACATTTCATATAACGTAATTATAACCTGAGATAATATCTTTAATTAAAGACAAATTTTGGAAAAACTAAAACGTTATTTGGTTAAAGCTCTATAAATCCCCTCAAACCCAATAGATTTGAATGACCAATGCCTCAAATGAAAGCCAGTAGTTTGCCGAGTATTTTATTATAAAAAAACATAACATCGCATAATCAGTACTCGAGGTAACAATCTTTTTTTCAAAGAAAATTATACAACCATTAAAATCTTTGTTGGCTGAAGTCTTGTAATTCACCTCCGACTCGTTCGATGTCAGTGATCTACATGTCAAATGGATGCCAATTGTTTACTGAGTGTTTTTATTGCAATACATACAACATCTAATAATAATAACTCAATGGGTTGGTCGAAATTTAAACTTTTCTTTTTGAAAAAATATTGTTTCTTTGGAGTGAAGATGAAAAGATTGGCCTTAAAGTCCTTAAATATAAACAGTTAATATTTCAAATATTTTCAAATTAAATTTGGTAATTTTACAAACATTTTAATACCAAAAACAGCCAGGAGAGAAGTGGCGGATGATCTCAGGAAAGATGTTACAATTTTATTGAACATATAAAATATCCTTATTTTTCATTGAAAATCAATTAAAAAGTTATTTTCTAACGCTTTATTCTGGCGTTACCCATGATCCAACAAAACATTCCATAAATGTATTCGATGCTAAATTTAAAGCTCTACAAACTTTATTATATATATTATAGTCATATTTTGAGTATTTAAGGCGCAAAATTCAAATAAAAATAAATACGACATTATTTTTTTATAAATTATAAACTTTGAAAAGTAATACTGACCTTAAAACAAATTATATATATTTAATATATGGTATTTCTGAGTAGGGAATTTAACCATAAACATTTTAAAATAACATGCATTGTTCCATCTTAAATAGTTTTTCTATTACATTGGTTTAAGTAAAAGCTTACACTGTAATTTACGTTTCCCGCCATTTTCCAAGATGGCGGCTGTTGCCCAAGGGTACCAAAAAAGTACCCGGTGGTTTTAGGGTCTACTTACCCTAGATATCACATAGCAACAATAAAAAAAACTTAATAGGACAAAACCAGGTTCGGGTCAATTCTGCCGGACTACTACTGAAGTAAGATTTATCATACAGCTGGGTTAGTAAATTTTCTTCATAAGAAATACATTGGGATTTTGATGGCCTGTGGGGCAAAGCCCGAGGACTTTTATTAGGCCAACAGGAATATGGTAAAAAATAAATATGGTCTACATAAAAAATACTTAATTTTGACACAACGTTTGTAAAAATCTGTCCATTATTAACGGAGGAGTAGTGTTTCGTATAAATCGCTTTCACGTATTATATAAGGATTTCAAACGTTTCAATACTTACTTACTTGAAATACTTGATCTCTTCATCCTTGAACAACAAAAGTTGGATAGATTGCGTCATTACCTATAGATTACAATACAAAAAACATTATTTAAATGTATACAAGTAAACTGAACTGACAGATGTGACTTTTTTTGGAAAGGCGAGTGGCTTGTCAAACAGTTCTT